ACACACACACACACACACACACACACACACACACACACACACACACAAACACAGTTCCAATAATCAAAATTCATGTCTGTCATCTCAGATCTCATCAGAAAAGTATATGTCTCTCTATGTCTTTCTGTGTGTAGCAGAAAGCAGTTTATGCAGAAACTCACAATTGATTAAAATCTAAAGAGTAAGTACCTATGGAGTGTTCAGTCACAAATGAGACCCTCTTTTACAGGCCTAGTTATCGTTACCTGAACAAGATCTGTACAAGGTCAAGCCAGCCAAAACTCCAGCATGGAGAGAGGATGGAGCCATGAGCCCCTTGACCCTAACAAGGAGCCATTGACAGTTGATAGCTTCTGAGAAAGAGTCTGTTTTCTTTAGTGGTGTAGCCACTGTTAGGTTGCCCACTCTCCAAGGGATCTCCTCACATCCGTGATTATATGGTCAGCAAAAGCAGGAATCAGTGGACTATAAAAACAAAGAAAATGTCAGCCCATAAAGGGCCTACTGTATAAGGACCCTAGTATAAGGACTCTCTCTCTCTCTCTCTCTCTCACACACACACACACACATATACACACGCAGGCACATCAGCACACATTTGCCCTGCAATCCCAGTGCTAGGATAGTGAAAGACAAAATGGCCCCTGTAGCTTGATTGTTGGCCGGCAAGTCCAGATGAATCAAGGAATGTCAGGTTCAGTGAGAGACCATGACTGAAAAATAAGGTAAAGAATGATTGTGGAAGATGCCCAAAGTCACCCTCCGTTGAGTCTGTACACACACACACACACACACACACACACACACACACACACACCAGTGCTAACTTCAAAAAATAAATACTTATACAAGTTTATAACCTACTACTCCCAAAGAAAACAATAGCACAGGACATCAAAGAAATTTGGTCTCTGCGTAGAGAACATTTCTCTAACAATTCTTTTTTTTTTTAATTTTTTATTTATTACAATTTATTTACTTTGTATCCTGGCTGTGGCCCTCTCCCTCATTTCCTCCCAATTCCACCCTCCCTCCTTCATCTCCTCCCATGTCTCTCTCCAAGTCCACTGGTAGGGGAGGTCCTCCTCCCCTTGACCCTAGCCTATCAGGTCTCATCAGGACTGGCTGCATTGTCTTCCTCTAACAATTCTTAACCACTGACTTGTGACTCTCAAAGACCTCAGTCTATATACAAACAAAGTCTAGATTACATGAGGTTTCCAGCCAGTATGGTAGAAAATCATATGCTGGATGAGTAGACAAGGTTGTTTAAATAATAATGTCATGTTTCATCACTTGAGATGAGCACTTCAGTAAAACAAAGTATTGGCTTTAAATTAGAACCTTCACGCATATTTCCTTTGTTGATCATTCGCATATATTCCTTTGTTTAAAATTAGGTACAGATAGGAAGGTGAGCAATCAGAAAGGAAGAAAACAAGTCAAGAGGCAGTGTGATCATATTTAAACAATTCTAATCAACTTGTGTAATCCTCTCATCTTAAATTATTCACAGGGGCAATTTGATTCTCAAAGGTTCATAAACAGAGTGCAAATCACCCAAGCAGAAGTAATTTGCTGCTTTTAAGCCAAAGCCCTTTCTAGCTAGGGAGTCGCCTGTAGGAATTAACTAGCACAAAATCCCGATTAAACAACTAATTGGCTTGTCTACTAATGGAAAGAAAAACAAAGCACATCTCTCCACTTCAAGACACAGAGTCATAAAATCAGAGGTCTTTCAGAACTGCCTCAGAGAAGATGCTTAAACCACTGACAATCAAATTCAACAAAGTGAAGCCCATGGAAGGGGCGAAGGAGCAGAAACCCTGCCCTCACCTGAGCAGGGAGGCTCAGCCATCCACAGCACAGGTATGTTCTCCATGTTCCTCCTTCAGTCTTGGTTCCCTTCCTTTCTCTGCTAATAGATGCTGCCATATGGAAGATTGCTCAGCAGCTCTACTACTAGGTTGGGAACTGTCTAATCCATGTTTTTAGTAATTTATATATTCTGTATATTTGTATTTAAAAGTAGGATAATAATGTTTAGGAGATTATATTTGGACAAGGAAGACTTTGTTGCTAAATGTTTTCCCACAGGTTACATGAAAATAGCTATTAGATCCCTCTCTTAAAGAACATGAAAGTTTTCAGCACTAACTCTGTACTGGGAAGGGTGCTGAGCACTTCCCAAGCAGCCTATGAGACAGAAGCCTGCTCTAACACTGCTGACACACAGCGGAACATGGCTGCAGCTGTACTAGCCCCCATTCCACAACCATTATGGAGAAACCTCTTCGCCAGCCAGCCAGGGTGGTGACAGATGAAAGAAGCTATGGGTCAGCCTTTCCAAACGAGCTGTCCTCAGGCCGAAGGACTTAAGAGAGAAAGCAGAAAGAACAGGTACTTTTTAAGAGCCATCTCCCCCTGAAGCAGCAAGGCTGGAGGAAAGAATAGACAATGCCCAGGCAGAGCAGCTCTTGAGTACAGCCAGTGACACACAGCAGCTGTGATTCTGGGGTGTTCATCATGAGACCTGCTGGCACCAAAGAATCTTAGCAGTCATGTCTGGGAATCCGTTACGTCTGTCCTTTCTAAGTACATGTGGTGAACAGGTAAAACAGGACATTTTTTTTAAAAGTTTTCTATTCAAATATGCTAACAATCATAAAAGGTTAATACGCTATTTTCACCCATAAAATACAACCTTTTTCAATGGCATATAAATAAATAAAGATAGTTTGAGTCCTATAAGGAAATATCTAGAAGTAAAAACAACTCAAACTGTATTGTGCTTTTTAAAGTACCCTTGAAGGGTCAATCAAAAAGTTCCTCTGAAATTCCTGTTTATCACAACTAATAACTCCAGAAATACAGCATCACCCAGTACAAACACACTTTACCTCCTTTACTTATGAATACGGCATTGTTTATTTAAGTCTATATTTATGCTATATATAAGAACTATAGTGGAAATTTTTACAGATAACATCTAACCATGATGCGGAAGAAGTTGTGTGGCCTAAGTTGTTACTGTTCCTAGATTGCCTTGACTCCTCTCTAGCTGTTTGCAGGTAATTGGCCATACAGGCTGCTCCATATTTGATAGAAAATAACAGCAACCTTGCTAATACGTGTGGTTGCTGTGAGTCTTAAATGAAGTTGTCTGACAAAATTAGTCTTCAGTCCTCACAAATAATGTCAAAGACCCCACAGTACAGCACACAGGATACTCAAAGTTCTTGTCCCTAGCTGCTTCCTCAAGTCTTCTCATTCTCCACCACAGAAATACCTCTGCTGTCATCTTCCACCCCCACACAGACACATCTTGGGATTTTGTTTTGTGTCTATCATCCACCTGCATTTGTAAAATCAAGATCTACTTTCTCTTTTATTTATTCCCCTTCCTCTCTACTGCAAAATAATAATAATAATCACAATAAAAAACAAGCACCATTTAAATTCAAGCACCATTTCTATTCTCTACAGGTGTTTTTCTCACCACCTAGATTTTTTTGGGGGGGGGGCAGAGGGAGGTGTGTACTCAGATGTATGTGTATGAGTATACGTGCGGGTGCATGGAAGGTGGAGGAGCTACCCATCACATACTAAGATTTAAGGTCCCCTACCTCTGCTCGGCGGCTCTACCAGAGGATCAGGTGTGATGCAGCCCCAGCTTTAGATTACCTATGGCTACTACCACAGCTGGCTTTTTGTGTCAGGTCCTCAGGCTTGGGCACCAAACATTTTAGTAACTATCTCCCCTCCTATTTTTTCATACTTTTTGGTCTCCTCTTTCTGCACTGTAATCTTTGTTTTGTGTCAGTGCATGCTGCTGCTATGAACGTCATCAGGTACTGCTCATATCCAGTGGGACATAACTCCACATCAAGGGAAAGATTAGCAAAATGCTGATTTTCAGAGAAAAACAAATTCACGAAGAGAGCAAAGTTAGTAACGACGGGACAAAACCATTCCTCCTCGTTGCTTTAAATTCTACCACTAAGGAGCCTGATGGGCCAGTGTTGGTGTGCTATGAAGGCCCAAGTTGGGAGGCCCGTGAGGCAGGGAAACATGGACAAAAATGTTTTGTGAATTGTGGGAGGAAGACAGTTGAGGCTGAATTAATAGTAAGTTATTCACTAGTAAGGTCAAGAATATCTATTTGGGTACAGGAAGAGTCATTTTTAGAAAATCATGGTTTGTTCAGTTTTAATAATCACATCAACAACTGAGTGAGAACAGTGACATTTTGCATTCAAATTTACATTAAAGTAACCACAATCTCTATTTTGTTTATCAAAGGGAGACAACAGTGGAAAAGAATCTCTGAGGACCAGAAGGATACCAGTCATGTTTGAAAAATCACACACCAAAGAACAAGGTCAGAATGCTACCAATGGGGGTGGGGGGTAAAATATGTCTTTGCCTAAAATTTACAATTTGATAAAATATCTGTCCTTGTCCAACCAAATTAACTAAAGTCATCGAAAGTTTAAAGAACAGAATTATTTGTGAAAATATCATTTCTTTATTCAGTCACTTATTTGCACATTCAGTACACTCATTAGATACTGTGTCCTGGGGAAGTTATACACGTTTGTGCATGCTTTCATGCTTGTGTGTGTGTGGCATGTGTTTGCTCAACCGCACTTGATCGTTCTGGTGTATATGGAGGCCAGGGGTGGCCATCAGGTGTCTTACTCAATTGCTCTCCGTCTTGCTCTTTGAGGTTGGGTCCTTCACTGAACCTGTAACTCAACACTTTTAACTAAGCTGACGGACAGCAAACCCTATCGATGTAGCCATCTCTGTCCCCTGAGCCTGGGATTACAGACTTATGCCAGAACACTCAGATTTTACATAGGTCCTGGGACTCAGAGCTCCAGTCTTCACCTTTCACAGCAGTGCTTTGCCTGTCTGGCCACACTCCTGGACTCTCCCCAGCTATTGTTTGATGACCTACCATGCGCTGGGCACTATTCCATGGCCTTGAGGGTAGGAGGCGTACAACAGGATCCAAATCTTTGTTCATGAAGAAGTTATGTTACAGAAAAAAATAAAATCAAACCAGTCATGAGGGAGCCCCTCATGAGCAGTGGAAACTCAGGCGGCGATGAGTTTTTATGATAATAAAGCAGATGCGGCAGTGTGTGTCTTAAGCGTCATCACCCCTCTCCTCTGTACTCTCCCAGCTGGAAAGCTCATCTGTCTTGGGCTGCACACTCAGTTCTGCATGGGTAATTCCAAATCCATATCAGGACAGTCACTTTTGGGAAACTCAATCCAGTACTTCCAACTGGCACTGCAAATATACCTGCATGTTTTGCAAAAGTATGATTAAAACAACTTATTCCTTCTTCTACTACTTCTCTTCCCCCTCTTCCTCCGTTTCTCCTCTTTGTTACTATCGTGTTTGGGGGAGGGGGTAAACTCAAAACTTCACTCCTTATTTTATTTCTCTACCATAAGTGCCATAATGTCTTCACCTCATCAACTTCGGTAATATCACAGAAACTTGCTAGCTTCCACACAATCTCTACAACAGCACCCTGAGCCAGGATTTTATTAGTTAAGTATTTCGTACACTCTGCTCAGGCACTAAGTGACATTTTCTGTTTAGGAGTCTGTTTCACTCAATTTCTCTCATTTTCCCTCAAGCGGAAATACTATGGGGCATATTGCTCTCCTGTAACTGCCGCTTTGACCACACACCTCAGATCAAGAGTTGTGAATGCCTCAGTACTGCCTTAGGACAAACATAAATGCCTTCAGTTGGCTTTATAGCGCCACTGCATTCTGTTCTTAGCCCTCTTGCCAACACATCTCTCCCACTTCTCCCTGGATGAAAGCTACATTATAATCAAGAAAAGGCAGTGGCCAGGGAATCATTAGAGCAGAATATGGTACTTTTTAATATAACAGCACATTTTTTACATAAAAGTAGAAAAAAGTTTTATTTTCTATCTATCCAACAATCTTTATTATGATTTGTATTAAACCAAATATTTGAAGTGAAGTATGTTCAGTTTCTATTAGCCTAAACTTCCTATCTCAAAAAAGGATAAAATAAATACATGAAAATCACAGTCAAGGCTGCAAAAAAAAAAAGAAAAAAGAAAGAAAGGGGTTTGCAGGCTAAGGGCATAGCTGAGTAGCACAGGACTTAACAGGTACAGTTCACTGGGTTCTGTCCTTGGCAATAAGGGAGAAAAGTTAATTTAAACAAAAAAGAAATCACAAAAAAAGTTGTAAGAAAATATATTCCTATCAATGAATGCTGTTGCAGTCTGAATTATTACTCTGAAACATGGCCCCAATTCTGTGTGTATTGATAATCTTCTACAATAGAATCTGAAAGAACCTATGTGGAAAAAAATAACTCAACCTAGCAGATAGATATTCAATAGACACAAGTAATTGAAATGAAATAAGATGTGCCCAGCCAGAAGAATAACATTGTAAAGATACTGCATCTTTTGTACTAGATCGTTATTATATTTTTATGTTTTTACATTCTTCTCTCTATTTACTTTCATTGCATATTTTTCAAAAATAAGAAGGAAATATTTCTAGATTCCTGAACATACTTATTTACTTACTTATTTTTCAAGAACATTTCTTGTTTTTCTTTCACTGCTCAACTCAGAATATAAAGAATGTTTTGTGTTTTTTTCTTTTTAAGCAAATGAGGTATTTCCATCACTGACTTCCTTCTGGGTTTTCATCCCAGCCAAGAAAACAGGAATAACAGCCGACATTACTTACCTGAAGGCAAGGCAGGGGAAGCATTCCACAAGAAGTTATATATGCCTATCGAATGCAATATACAGTCAGTTCTCTTAGCCTGTCTGATTCAAATGCTTAGATTATGCATCGATAAAAGAAGAAGGCTTCATGATAAGTAAAATTTCATATAGAAAACTGCCATCAAGTGTAAGAGTCATATTCCAGAAGATACAGTTAAAACAGAGGAGACTTGGTCTAAAAGGGGCACATATCTACTGTTTGTATATGGAGGACAGCAGGTAACTTTCAATAGTCAATTCTCTCCTTCTACCTCAAATTCTGGGATCAAACTCAAAGTCTTCTGCTTATGCAGGAGTTATTCTAACATGCTGGTCCATTACACAAGACAACTGTTGTGTTTTTCTTTTCATTTTTCCACATACATGCACTGAAATATGATCCTATAAGCTTAATTCCCCCCTTCTAATTTCCTCTCATTCCCCCAACACAGCCCCTTCTCATCTTCACACCATTTTATAACCCATGAAGTCTAGTTTGGACTGCCCATATGGGCCACTCTTGTTTTTTCTCCAATCAATTGAACATCAGTATTCAGTAACTGGAAATGCATGTGTGTTGTAGATGTGTTGTGTGTGTATGTGTGGGTGGGTGTGCATGACAGTTGAAGATGTCCATGGATGTGTGTGCACACACACCTAGAGGCCAGAGGTATCTTCTTCAAGTGCTTTCCACCCTGTGTACTGAGATGAGGTATCGCACTGAATGGGAAGATCATGGGTTCTTCTAGACTCGCTGGTCCAGAAATTAGTTTGTCCCTGCTGATCCTCCTCCTGTACAGATGGAGACATGTCAATTTCTATGTGGAAGGTGAGGATCCAAAATCAGTTTCCTGTGCTTGCTCAACAACCACTTTAACCATCAGTATATTTCACCAGCCCCTTCAATACACAAAATTTTTAAAAAACATGTAGGCTTCATTTGTCAGAACATAATTATAATCTTGTGATTTATTGTAAGGCCTTTGCAGAGCAAAAAATATCCTACTGTCTATCTGGAATAAAGAATCAAGAGCAATAAACAGCATGGGACTTCACAGGAGAAAAAGTCACTCAACTCTCCTTTCTTTAACAAAATTATGAGATAGCAGGGAAGGAAATGTATTTGGCTTAATGTTTTTGATCAGATATAAAGATTTCAATAAAATTTTACCTCAAAACATAATAAAGAGGAAGAGAGAGGGAGATAGAAAGAGAAGGTGCAGAGAGACAGAGAGATGAAGAGAGACACACAGAAAGAGTCTTCTGCAGATAGTAATACAAAACAGAAATGGGATTAGCAAGCAGCTATACAGAGGAAAGAAGAAATACTCCAAATCTCTAAGAGCCAAAGGAAGGCAAGAAAATAAAGGCTACACTACAGAATTACCAAGATGATTGAAACGATATTTGTTTTATAATGCGTTCTTTGAGGGTATAGAAGATTTTAAATTAGAGCGCTTCACACACGCAAGGAAAAAAAAACATATTCTTAGCAACATGCAACTAAGAATTGCCACTTTAAGATAAGACTAACCTCATCCTTGTATATGTGTATTTATAAGGAGAAACCTTTCACAGCTGTAATAAAACTCTTCGGTGGAGTTTTACTCAACAGAGACGCTGTTTAACTGAGGAAAACTGTTTCCGTTAAACATGCAAACTGAGCAGAGCTTCGAAGTTTTCAATTAGGACTGAGTTGTATTTAAGGTGGTCTGTCTTTAAAAGATGAAATTATTAGTGTTTAAAGATGGCATGTGATGATAGACTGTTGATATTTTTATTTTCTTCACTCAAAACACACAGGTGCAATGTTACAAAATCTCCAGGTGCTGATTTCTGATTTTAGAATTCTTATCATCAGCAGAACATGGTTCTACTAAGAAAATAAAGAATGCGACAGATTTTGGAAGCAAATAAATATAGCTTACTAATGTCCTTTCTTAAGTACAAATGTCTTTTTAGGCTTGTACTTAACTTATATTAAATGCGTCTTTAAAAAATATCAGAATCCATAAAATATGTATCTGTCTTGTCTAATAATGATTTATAATTATTATTTATTTATTATGTATATGCTTTAATGAAAACATTATGTGGAAATAGATTAAAATAATGTACTTATAATAGGTACAATGTGGTAGATTGGGTAATGGATACTCAAAGATCATAACTTCATAATCCCCTGAGTTTATTAATCTAGTTTTATGCATTGAATTTTGTTGTTAAAGTATTTGAAATGGAAAAATTATCTTTGCTAATCTGATATTCCCAATATAACCAAGGAGTCATTGTGAGAGAACAGTGAGAGGGACAAATACAGAAGAAAGAGATGGGACAATGAAAACAGGTTGGATAGATAAATTCCGGAAGCAGAGGAGAGGACACTGAGGAATTGTTATAGCATCTAGACTAGGGGGAAAAAGAAAAAATATTAGTCTGTCCTGGAGGTCCCCCAAGTCCCAAACAACCTATCCTTTCAAACATTTTTTTAGACTTTTGACTTCTAGAACTAAAGAAAGAAAGAAAGAAAGAAAGAAAGAAAGAAAGAAAGAAAGAAAGAAAGAAAGAAAGAAAGAAAGAAGAAACTTCGTTTTGT